GTGGGCCAATCAGGGCTTAAATGTATCAATCAATCAGGACTGGGCTGTACTGACCAATCAGAGCTCAGCTGCACCTACCAATCAGAACTAAGCAAGTTAATCATTTAACAACGTTAAAGAGTCAATTTAAAAAAAAAAATAAGGTAGAGTTTTTGGTTTTGGTTTTTTGTTTTTTTTTTAGACAGAGCCTCAAGCTGTCCCCCTGGGTAGAGTGCTATGGCTTCACTGCTCACAGCAACCTCTAACTCCTGGGCTCGAGCGAGTCTCCTGCCTCAGCCTCCCAAGTAGCTGGGACCACAGGTGCCCGCCACAATACGCAGCTATTTTTTGGTTGCAGCCATTATTGTTGTTTGGCAGGTCCGGGCTGGATTCGAACCTGCCACTGTAGGTGTATGTGGGTGGCGCCTTAGCCGCTTGAGCCACAGGCGCTGAGCCTATTCCCTTTTTTTTTTTGAGATAAGAGTTTTACTCTGTTGCCCTGGGTAGAGTGCTATAGGATCATCATAGCTTATAGCAATCTCAAATTCCGGGGCTCAAGCAATCCTCTTGCCTCTTTTCTTAGGAGAGACAGGGGTCTTGCTCTTGCTGAGGTTGGTCTTGCACTTCCTAAACTCAAGTAATCTAACTGTCTTAGCCTCCCAGAGTACTAGGATTACAGGCATGAGCCACTGTGCCTGGCCCCTACTCTGTTTTAAAACTGGCTTTGGGGCAGGCATGCCTGTTAGCCTAGCACTTTGGGAAGCCGAGAACAGAGGATCACCTGGGGCCATGGGGTTGAGGCTGGCCTGAACAACACAGTAAGGCCTTGTCTCTACAAAATATAGAAAAAGCCTAGAAGTGAACTGGAGGCCTCCCTCATTTCAGCTTTCTACGTGTACTCTGACCTGCCCCTCCAGACCTGAGAGGAGCTTTGGTAATGCTGCTGGGCACTGATTCACACTGTTTTCTGCTGCCCCACCTGTAGATGGGCTTTGATGGCTTCTTCTTCGGGCGCCTTGATTATCAAGATAAACTGGAGCGGGAGAAGAAGCTGGAGATGGAATATATGTGGCAGGCCAGCACCAGCCTGACGCCCCCAATTGCCAACCTCTTCACTGGTGAGGGGACCCAGTGCCAACAGGGCTGCGCCATGGGGCCATATGCTCAGATAAGCCCTGGGCTTGGTTTAATGCTCTGATATCACTGTCCTAGAATACTTAATAATTTTTGAACAAGAGTCCTGCATTTTCTTTTTTCACTGGGCCTTGCAAGCTCTGAAGCCCTTCCTGGGTGGGTCCTGGCAAACTCTGATCCCAGGGTACATGTGGGGTGCTGGGCTATCTCTTTGAGTCTGGTGTGGTCCCACAGGTGTGCTTCCCAATAATTATGAGCCACCAAAGAATCTATGCTGGGACATACTGTGTACTGACAATCCCATCGTAGAGGACCCCCAAAGCCCTGAGTACAACGCCAAGGAACTGGTCAATTACTTCCTGCGTATGGCCACTTCTCAGGTAACTATGGTGTCCAGAACTTGCAAATCTCATGTAGACAGGGCACTGAGCCTTTTCAATGGCCCAGGTGTCCCCTAAAACCTCATATTTCTTAGAAAACGATAGTATTCTGTTCATCACTGCCATGTCCCTCTTCCAGATTTGAAGAGATAGGACAGTCCACTTCCTTGATGTCTTTATCTGTGTAGGGGGGCCAAGAGAACTACTTAACAACTAGTAGCTATTTTTATCTGTGTCCATATGTGCTATACTCCCCTAACCCTACTGATGCCTGAATGTGCACCAATTGGGTGCCTTGATTATCCATACATATAATGGGCCATAGTTGTACACAGAAGTGGCCCAGGGCACCATGGCCTAAGGACTCCACTCTGGCCTGCAGGCCCAGAAATACCGCACCAACCACACCATGATGACCATGGGCTCGGATTTCCAATATCAGAATGCCAACATGTGGTTCAAGAATCTTGACAAACTCATCCGGCTGGTCAATGCCCAGGTCAGTATGCCTACCTTGTGATGCCCATGTGCACATATGTATTTGTATCCTTGGGCCTTGCGTCATGTTCATAACTCTGGGTACTATCTTTTTTTTTTTTTTGTAACAGAACCTCAAGCTGTCACCCTGGGTAGATTGCGGTGGCATCACAGCTCACAGCAACCTCCAACTCCTGGGCTCAAGTAATTCTCCTGCCTCCGCCTCCCAAGTAGCTGGGACTACAGGCACCCACCACAATGCGTGGCTATTTTTTGATGGCAGTCATCGTTGTTTGGTGGGCTCAGGCTGGACTTGAACCCACCCGCTTAGGTGTATGTGGCTGGTGCCTTAGCTGCTTTGAGCCACAGGCACTGAGCTAGCTTTGGGTACTGTCTTAGTTTTCTTTTTCTTTTTCTTTTCTCTCATTTTTTGAGACAGAGTCTTACTATGTCACCCTCAATAGAGTGCCATGGTGTCACAGCTCCCAAGTATCTGGGACTACGGGCACCCACCACAATGCCCAGCTATTTTTTGGTGCAGCCATCATTGTTTGGCAGGCTCAGGCTGGACTTGAACCCGCCAGCTTAGGTGTATATGGCTGGTGCCTTAACTGCTTGAGCCACAGGCACCAAGCTAGCTCTGGGTACTATCTTAGTTTTTTTTCTTTTCTTTTCTCTTTTTTTTTTGAGACAGAGTCTTACTATGTCACCCTCAGTAGAGTGCCTTGGTGTCATAGCTCCCAAGTAGCTGGTACTACAGGCAGCCGCCACAACGCCTGGCTATTTTTTGTTGTAGTTATTCAGCTGGCCCAGGCTGGGTTCAAACCCACCTCCTTTGCTGTTTGTGGCTGGCACCGTAACTACTGTGCTGTAGGTGCCGAGCCTGTCTTAGTTTTCTGTTACTACTAAAACAAATTGCTGCAAGCTTAGCAGGTCAAAAACAACAGAAATACTTAAAGTTGTATAGGTTAGAAGTCTGGCATTGGCATGGGTCTCACTGGGCTAGAATCAAGAAGTTGGCAGGGCTGATTCCTTCTGGAGACTCTAGGAGAGAATATGTTTGTTGCTTTTTGCTGTCTGCATTCCTTGGTGCATGGCTGCTTTCTCTTTTTTTTTTTTTTGAACAGAGTCTCACTCACTCTATTGCCCTAGGTAGAGTACCATGGAGTCATAGGTCACAGAAACCTGAAACTCTTGGAGTCAAATGATCCTCTTGCCTCATTCTCCCCAGTAGCTGGAACTACAGGTGCCTGCCACAATGCCCTGCTAGTTTTTCCTTTTTTTTTTTTTTTTGAGACAAAGTCTCACTATGTTGCCCTCAGTGGAGTCCCGTAGCATCACAGCTCACAGCAACCTCCAACTCTTGGGCTTAAGTGATTCTCTTGCGTTAGCCTCCCAAGCAGCTGGGACTACAGGTGCCCGCCACAATGCCTGGCTATTTTTTGCTTGTAGTTGTCATTGTTGTTTGGCAGGCCTGGGCTGGGTTCAAACCCGCCAGTGCCGGTGTATGTAGCTGGCACCCTAGCCACTGAGCTACAGGCGCTGATCCTAGTTTTTCCATTCTTAGTAGAGATGGTGTCTTGTTCTTGCTCAGGCCAGTCTGAAATCTTGAGCTTAAGCAATTCGCCCATTTCAGCTTCCCAGAGTGCTGAGATTACAGGTGAGAGCTACTGCACCCAGCCTGCTTCCTTCATTTTCAAAGCCAGCCATGTAGCATCTCTCTGACCTGCTCCCATCATCATATCTCTTTCTCTCATTCTCACCTCTTCTAAGTTTTAAGATCCTGTAATTACATTGGACCTGCTAGATAATCCAAAATAATCTCCCTATTTTAAGATTAGCTGATAAGCAGTCTTCATTCCACCTGCAGCCTTCCTCTTTGCCAGGTAACCTAGCATAGTCATAGGTTCTGGGGATCAAGACAAGGACATTTTTGGGTGGTTATTATTCTACCTACCATAGATGTGTAAGTGGCCTGTGGCTATATTTGTGTGCACAGGCAGTCACTCTTTCCCTTCAGCTCAGAAACTTGTCTTTTCTCTGTTCATCCAAGATGCTATAGTACCTGTACAATCTCTGTCCTGACCTCCCACCCGCTCCCGGCACTGTTGTGTCACAAAAACAGCTCTATCTAAGTAAGGATTACCCAAGGCCTTCCAAAAGACATTTCTCTTAGGTTGAAGGGCTCAACTGCACCTTGGACTTTACCTAACAAATGCAAACAATGTAACCTAATTGTATGGACTCTTATGTTAATCTGAAATTTAAAAAGGAAAAAAGATATTTCTCAGTCCTCCCATGCCCTTGGCCCATGAGGAGGCTTCAACATCTTGACCCTTCTTTTGCAAATACCATGTCCCTGAGTCACCATAGTGTCATACTGTCTTGCTGTTTCCCCATAAAATGTCACTGACTCCATTTTACAAACTCTGGAAACTGGTTCAAATCCTGGCTTTGTCATTTACTGGCTCTGTGACTTTAAGAAATGATCTTTAGCACTCTGTGCCTTAGTTTTCTCATCTACAAAATGAGCATAATGGTGGTCCCTACCTCACAGGGTTGTTAATGAGAGTTTAATGAGTTTGTTGGTATAGATGAGTAGGAAGTGACTGACACATGATGTGTTAGTGGTTCCCTATGATTATGCAGTGTCTCTGGTGGAAGGCTTCCTGCTTCTCCTTTAAGACACCAGCTGTAATGTGTCCTCCTCCTGGAAGCCCTTACCAAACCCCAGGCAGAGCCCTGATCTTTCCTCTGTGCTCCCTCACTGGCTTCCATCAGTAGCCATGATGCCACATCCATGTCAATCCTGACCAACTGGATATCTGTTCAATGTTTCTCTCTTCCACCTGGCTATGGATTCCGTGAGGGTGGAGGCTGGATTCTCTGGTTCTAGATTGTGTCTGCAATCCTGAGCATATTTGAGAACTGAGAGATTGCTGAATGCACACAGTATGTATATATATGTGTCTGTGTATTTAACTGTGTGTACAGTGTGTAGATGTGTGTATATGCACATAAAACTTGTAGTCCCATGTACAGCCCTTTGTTTACTTAACTGTTTATTGAACATGTACCATGTACACTGGGATAAGCAGAACATCCTTTTCCTCACGGAGGTCATCTTGTTCCTCCACCTGCCTCAGTTGAAAGTGAGTCTCCATTCATTATAAAAATAGTTAAAATGGGGCAGGCAAAGTGGCTCATGTCTGTAATCCTAGCACTCTGTAAGGCAGAATCAGGAGGATACCTTGAGCTCAGGAGTTGAAGATCAGCCTGAGCAAGAGCAAGACCCAATGTACCAAAATAGAAAAAATTAGGTGGGTGTGGTAGTGTATGCCTGCAGTCCCAGCTACTTGGGAGGCTGAGGCAGGGAGATGGCTGGAGCCCAGGAGTCTGAGGTTACAATATTACGCTAAACTCTACCCAGGGTGATACAGCAAGACCCTGTCTCAAAAAAATTGTATCTTTTGGTAATAATCTGATGCTGGCAGCTGAAAATAATTGTTGCTGCCCTATAATGTCATGCTTAAGTTTGTACACAAAAGTTTTTCTTTTCTTTCTTTTTTTTTTTTGCAGTTTTTGGCCGGGGCTGGGTTTGAACCCACAACCTCCAGCATATGGGGCCATGCCCTACTCCTCTGAGCCACAGGCACTGTCCCACAAAAGTTTTTGTTTTTCTTTGGTAGAGATAGAGTCTCACTTTATTGCCCTAGAGTGCGGTGGTGTCACACGGCTCACAGCAACCTCCAACTCCTGGGCGATTCTCTTGCCTTAGCCTCTGGAGTAGCTGGGACCACAGGCATCCACCACAATGCTCAGCTATTTTTGTCCACAAAAGTTTTTAATAATAAAAATTGGAACTAGGCTCGGCGCCTATAGCTCAACCGGCTAAGGCGCCAGCCACGTACACCTAAGGTGGCGGGCTCGAATCCCCAGCCCGGACCGCCAAAACAACAATGACAGCTGCAACCAAAAAAAAAAAAAAAAAAATAGCCGGGCGTTGTGGCCGGCGCCTGTGGTCCCAGCTACTTGGGAGGCGGAGGCACGAGACTTGCTTGAGCCCAGGAGTTGGAGGTTGCTGTGAACTGTGATGCCACGGCACTCTACCCAGGGGGACAGCTTGAGGCTCTGTCTCAAAAAAAAAAAAAAATTGGAACTAATTTTAAAAAGTTTAGTAAAATTTCAGGTTTATACTTGCATCTCTGAAATCCTTTCAAGGCTGGTAACATTTGGCTTCAGCCCAAGTGTGTGTTCAGAGAATCTGAGCTAGTGGCTACGTAAATGTATGCTCATGTGTAAGTGTATGCGCACCCCTGTGGGCTTCCAGGAAGGTGCGGACTTTCAAGGGCTCACATACCTGCTTTCCCCAGCAGCAGGCAAACGGGAGCCGAGTCAATGTTCTCTACTCCACCCCTGCTTGTTACCTCTGGGAGCTGAACAAGGCCAACCTCACCTGGTATTTGGGAGGACTTAGGGGATTGGAGGGTGGGCTGGCATGTCCCCTGGGTCTTGACCCGGCTCTTTATGCTCCTGGTCCTGCAGGTCGGAGAAACATGACGATTTCTTCCCTTATGCGGACGGCCCCCACATGTTCTGGACCGGCTATTTTTCCAGCCGGCCAGCCCTCAAACGCTATGAACGCCTCAGCTACAACTTCCTGCAGGTGAGTGGGCTCCGAGTTTGAGGAGGCAGCCCAGGAGGCTCAGCTGGCCAGTTGTCCCAACTTACTCCCTGCTCCTCAGGTGTGCAACCAGCTGGAAGCACTGGTGGGTCCGGCGGCCAACGTGGGACCCTATGGCTCAGGAGACAGTGCACCCCTCAGTAGGTGTCGGCTGACCAGGGGACAGGGGCGGGGCTGAAGCTGGAAACCACCCCTAGGCATCCTCTTCGAATCCCTTCTTAAAGCCCCAAGAACTCAGTCTGCCCGCACAAGACTTTTTGCCTCTCCTTCGAGTTGGGGCTGGGAGTCTTTCGGAACCCCACCTGACTCACCATCGGCCTGCAGATGAGGCGATGGCAGTGCTCCAGCATCACGACGCTGTCACCGGCACCTGCAAGCAGCACGTGGCGGACGACTATGCGCGCCAACTAGCGGCCGGCTGGGAGCCTTGCGAGGTGCAAGCGGTGGGGCCTTGGAAGGACAAAATCGGAAAAGGGCTGGGCCAGCACTTGATAATGTAGGGCGGCGGAGACTGGTATAGGGCGTGGTCGAGGACTTGGTGGGGCCTAGTGGGGATAGTGGGGGCAAGGCTTATGGGAGGCGGGGCCCAGATGGGATGGGGCGGGTCCTGGGAGGGACGGAGTCAGGCTGAAGGGAGTCGTACAGAGCTGATTCTCCCCTTTGCGCTTCTCCCCAAGGTTCTCCTGAGCAATGCTCTGGCAAGGCTCAGTGGTTCCAAGGAAGACTTCACATTCTGTCGCGACCTTAACATCAGCAGATGCCAGCTCAGCCAGACCTCCTCGTCGGTGAGCCAGAGTGGGAAGGGCAGGCTGGGAGGCAAGTCCCGTGGGTGCCACCAGATTAACCTTGCAGATCATGGAGTGGGGCCAAGGGGAGTGGGGCTCTGGCCAATGGACTGTAGAAGGGATGATATTTCTTGGGATGCAGTGAAGTTGGAGTAGGACAGAGACCAATGCACCAAGAAGGAGTTGATCAAACTGGAAGCACTCAGGAATGTACCTGTGCAAGGTGGGTAGGTTTGGAGAAGGCATGCTGTGACCCATGCCTTCCCTGATCCTCCCACCCCAGTTCCAGGTCACTATTTATAACCCCCTGGGGCGGAAGGTGGACTGGATGGTGCGGCTGCCGGTCAGCAAAGGTGTTTTCCTTGTGAGAGACCCCCAAGGCAGGACTGTGGATAACAATGTGAGCCCCTTTGATTGGTATTCTCCTGCATTTCCCCGCTTCCTTTTTGGACACCTTCTCTTGGGTACTACCCCTGCACGAATACCTCCTCCTCCATGAATACCTTCTGCCAGTGAGTATCTCTTCCTCCTTTGTCCCTTAATATTAGCCCCCCTTAGGATCATCTACCTTCCATGAGTGGTCCCCTTTTTAATACCTGTACCCCCCATATATTTTCTTCCTGTTTAATGAATATCTCCTTTATCCCAGAAAGTCGCCCACAAACCTCTTCTTCCCCCTAAAATCTTTCCATCTCTTCCCTGCCTCAAGGATCGGTCTCTTCCTCTACTTCCCTCACTCTTCCCAGACAGTCCCTCCATCCTCCTAGGAGGAGGTATATTTTTTCCAGCTTGTGAATCTTTTCTGCTGTCTTTTCCTTAGAATCTGCCACCCCCATTACCCCTGTCCTCAACACCTAGATGTCTTTCCCCCATCCTAGGCCTCTTTCCCTCAACCCTCTTGAGTTTGATGCCTCCATGTATACATGGCTTTATGTGTGAACTCACAGTATATTAACTCTGTTTCTCTCCTTTGTTACCCCAGGTGGTGATACTTCCCAGCACAGACAGGCAAATGGACCATTCAGAGCTACTATTCTCAGCCTCAGTGCCTGCTCTGGGCTTTAGCACCTATTCAGTAACCAAGATGACCAACGGGAAGCTCCAGACCCGTGCCCCAAGGCGCAGGCCCAAGAAGTCCTCGTTTAATGTCTTGGCCATTGAAAATGAGGTAAAACTCCATTCCGATTCCCTTCTCTGCACCCTGTGACAAATTTGAAGTGTCATAGTGAGCGGTACGGAGTTCAGGTCAACAGGTCCTGGTTCATGGTCTGCTGTCACCACTCCCCTGATTGTGTCTTTGAGGGAGTGACCTTTGTCTGAATCTCTGTGACTCACTGTGATGATGGGTGATACTTGATAGAGAGGTTGGAGCTGATGGCGGGTGTTGGTTTGCATTTTTAGAGGCGATATCAGGGAATGCCTTACTGAGAAGGTGACATTTAAGGTGAGACCTGAGGGAGAAAGCTGTGTGGTTACTTGGGGGAAGAGGAATCCAGGTAGGCAGAGAACAGCATACACAGAAGCCCTTAGGCAGGACAATGTGCTGTATTTGAGGAACTACAAGGAACCCAGTGTTCCTTGTGGAAAGGATAAGGGAGGTGACAGGTCAGACCTTGAGGGGCCTTAAGGACCAATAGGAAAACTTTGGCTTATACAGCAAAAGAGCCACTAGCAGATTGGGGCTTCATTGAGACCATCCTGGGCCCTAGCACTTTGCCTTTTTTGGGTCACTTCTACTATTTAAAAAAAAAGAAGTTAAGAATTTCAGCTTTGGCTTGGCATGGCTCAAGCGGCTAAGGCGCCAGCCCCATACACCTGAGCTGGTGGGTTTGAATCCAGCCTGTGCCCACCAAAAAACAATGACAGCTGCAACCAAAAAATAGCCAGGCTTTGTGGCAGGCACCTGTAGTCCCAGCTACTTGGGATGCAGAGATAGGAGAATTGCTTGAGCCCAGGAGTTGGAGGTTGCTATGAGCTGTGATGCCACAGCACTCTATCCAGGGTGACAGCTTGAGGCTCTGTCTCAAAAAAAAAAAAGTATAAGAGTTTCAGCTTTTGGACTGGGCATGGTGGCTCAGCCTATAATCCTAGCAGTTGGGAGGACGAGGCCAGTGGATTGCCTGAGCCAGAGTGAGAGAATGGTTTTCCACACTTACGGAGCGCCACAGAGTTTTCCTTGTTGTTGAAATGCAGCCAGAGGTTTTTTACCTGTCTCTAAATAATTGCTGGGTGTTGTGGTGTGCACCTGTAGTCCCAAATACTCGGGAGGCTGCAGCAAGAGAATTGCTCGAGCCCAAGAATTTGAGGTTGCTGTGAGCTATGTATGACTCCATGGCACTCTACCAAGGGTGACCAAGTGAGACTCTGTCTCAAAAGAAAAAGAGTTTCAGCTTTTCAGAGAAGAAATTGAAATAAGATCATAAGAAGCCTGAAAAATGAAGCCTAAAATGAAATATTAAACCAATAAATTGCCCCAGCAAAGCTGAACAGCACAGCAAACAAAGCCATGGAAAAATCTTACAAGGCAATAAAATCCCAGCAGAAGGCTGAAGAATAGTGCCATTTGTACATCATGAAGCTACGCTCTGGCCTTACCATAGAAAAGGAGGCCTGTTACTTTAGGAAAAAAAAAAAAAAACACCAAAGGCCTTCCTTAGGAAAGAAATCACCAAAAAACAGGTATAAAAGAACATTTGTCACTCACTGCCTTTCAATAGCTGTCTACTATGGGGCACTTTGCCTTTGGTGTACCTGAGATCCAGAAATAGGCTAGAACACTTCATGTTCCAAGTCCCACAGAATCCTATGCTTCCCTAAGCACATACAACAAGCAATCCATTACTTCCATTTTGGAAGATGGAAGTTATGAGACGTATGTTGAAGACTTGAAAAAAGATCAGGAGAAAGACAATATGCTACTGCATTACTACAAGTCTCAGTGCTCTTCACGTGAATCAGATGATGGTGTCGATGGCAAGATCCTTTTTTTTTGGTAGAGACAGAGTCTTACTTTATTGCCCTTGGTAGAGTGCCGTGGTGTCACGCAGCTCACAGCAACCTCCAACTCATGGGCTTAGGTGATTCTCTTGCCTCAGCCTCTCAAGTAGCTGGGACTATAGGTGCCTGCTACAATGCCTGGCTATTATTTTGTTGCAGTTTGGCCGGGGTCGGGTTTGAACCTACCACCCTCGGTATATGGGACCTGGGCCCTACCCACTGAGCCACAGGTGCCACATAGATGGCAAGATCTTTTTTTTTTTTTGCAGTTTTTGGCCCGGGCTATGTTTGAACCTGCCACCTCTGGCATATGGGGCTGCTGCCCTACTCCTTTGAGCCACAGGTGCCGCCTGATGGCAAGATCTTAATAGTAAACCAGGGTCCTACAAAAGACCTCTGGCTGCATTCCAACAACGAGGAGAACTCTGTGGAGCTCCGTAAGTGTGGAAAACCATTGCCAGAGGAGCAGGCATTCTTTCTTCTTCATAAGAAGCCCTTCAAATGTGTTTCATTTGGATGTAAGAAAGATCCTGGAATGTTTATAGGTGTAAAGGATAATCACCTTTCCCTAATTAAAGTAGACTGTTCTGGCTGGGCACAGTGGCTCATGCCTATAATCCTAGCACTCTGGGAGAGTGAGCCAGGTGGATTGCCTGAGCTCAAGAGTTCTAGACCCTGACCCACAGTGAGACACCATCTCTAAAAATAGCTGGGCATTGTGGTGGGCGCCTGTAGTCCCAGGTACTCAGGAGGCTGAGGCAAGAGAATTGCTTGAGCCCAAGAATTTGAGGTTGCTGTGAGCTAATGATGCCATGGCACTCTACTGAGGGTGACAAAGTGAGGCTCTGTCTCAAAAAAAATTAAGAAAAGACGGGCAGCGCTTGTGGCTCAAGGAGTAGGGCACTGGCCCCATATACCGGAGGTGGTAGATTCAAACCCAGCTTTGGCCAAAATCTGCAAAAAAAGGCTCAGTGTCTGTAGCTCAGTGGCTAGGGTGCCAGCCACATACACTGGAGCTGGCAGGTTCGATTCTAGCCCGGGCCTGCCAAACAACATTGGCAACTACAACCAAAAAGTAGCTGGGTGTTGTGGCGGGCGCCTGTAGTCCCAGCTACTTCGGAGGCTGAGGCAAGAGAATGGCTTATGCCCAAGAGTTGGAGGTTGCTGTAAGCTGTGATGCCACGGCACACTACCAAGGGTGATAAAGTGAGGCTCTGTTTCAAAAAAATTAAAAAAAAATAAAAATAAAGTAGACTGTTCTGAGAATTTGAGCACTGAGAATATCATGTTTAAGCTCTCTAAAACTTAATGTGATGGAAAGCTGTGGGCCTTGGATTGGATAGCCCAAATGCTACCTTTGAAGAAATAATAAGAGATAAAGAGATGAGCAACATGTAAGGGAAATGAAGAATGCTTAGCATGCTGTGGAATGTTTTCCTTCTTACATGTAAAAATATATATTTTTTATCCTTCAGTTCTGTTTTGTATTTCCCTAAGTAAAATTGCATATTTAGTACAAGGGTCTGTGAATTAAGTAGGTAGGGTATTGGTAAAGAAACTGCAAAAATTCCAAGATACAGCCTAACCTTTACTTTTTTCTTTTGTCAATACAAAAAGAACTTCCATGTAGGCCAAGTGCAATGGCTCACTCCTATAATCCTAGCACTCTGGGAGGCTGAGGAGGTTGGATAGCTTGAGCTCACAGGTTACAGACCAGCTTGAACAAAAAAGTAAGACCCCATCTCTACTAAAAATAGAAAAAACTGAAGCAAAAGGATCACTTGAACCCAAGAGTTTGAGGTTGCTGTGAGCTATGACGCCATGGCACTCTACGGAGGGTGACACAGTAAGACTCTGTCTCTAAAAAAGAAAACAAAGGGTGGCGCCTGTGGCTCAGTGGGTAGGGTGCTGGCCCCATATACCGAGGGTGGTGGTTTCAAACCCAGCCCTGGCCAGCTAAAGCAGCAATGACAACTGCAACAACAACAACAACACAAAAAGCCGGGCTTTGTGGTGGGCACCTGTAGTCCCAGCTACTCGGGAGACTGAGGCAAGAGAATTGCTTAAGCCCAAGAGTTGGAGGTTGCTGTGAGCTGTGATGCCATGGCACTCTACTGAGGGTGACAAAGTGAGACTGTCTCAAAAAAAAAGAAAAAACCAAATATGGAATCCACTTACCACTTGTGTGAGCCTAGATGAGATATAGAATTAACATTAAAATTCCAGTAACTAAGGGGCAGCACCTGTGGCTCGAAGGAGTAGGGCACTGGCCCCATATGCTGGAGGTAGTGGGTTCAAACCCAGCCTGGCCAGAAACTGCAAAAAAATAAAAATAAAAAATTCCATAACTGATTTTCCTTCATGTCTGTACCATACTATCTCTTCAGATCTTGGCTCAGGGATCTATGTCTTTCAATGTACACAAATTTTCTTCTAATTCCTGCTTCTCATGTACACAATCTTTTTGTTGTACAGTCCCTGCTTACTATGAAATACTCATTTCACTTTTGTCTCTTCTTCATTTCTTTTTTTTTTTTTTGAGACAGAGTCTCGCTTTGTCACCCTTGGTAGAGTGCCGTAGTGTCATAGCTCATAGCAACCTTAAACTCTTGGGCTCAAGTGATCCTCTTGCTTCAGTTTTTCAATTTTAGTAGAGATGGGGGTCTCACCCTTGCTCAGGGTGGTCTTGAACTTCTGAGCTCAAGCAATACACACACCTCAGCCTCCCAGAGTGCTAGGATTACGGTTATTTTAAAGTCTTAACAATTTCTACTATAATTTTTCTTAGAATTAACATTTACAATAAACGATAAACATAATAATGGACTATTTGTGAAATATGCCATTTTCTGAAAGTGTGGGGTTTTTAATTTCTAACTTGTTGAGAGATATTGCATATAATTGCTGGTAGTACATAAGATAAAAGAGGCTAACAATTACTGTATAAAGGTATTACATTTGTAAAACAATGTATCTTTGTTTCATTACTTTGTCAATAGTTTTACCAAAGTGGCTCAGTGCCTATGACTCAAGCAGCTAAGATGCCAGCCACATACACCTGAGCTGGCAGGTTCGAATCCAACCTGGGCCTGCCAAACAACAATGACAGCTGCAACAAAAAAATAGCTGGGCGTTGTGGTGGGCGCATGTAGTCCCAGCTACTTGGGAGGCAGAGGCAGGAGAATCGCTTGAACCCAGGAGTTGGAGGTTGCTGTGAGCTGTGATGCCACGGCACTCTACCTAAGGGGACAGTTTGAGGCTCTGTCTCAAGAAAAACCCCAAAAAACCCAATATATTTAAGAAAAGTTAAAAGTTATATTTTATGGCTCGGCGCCTATAGCTCAACCGGGTAAGGCGCCAGCCACGTACACCTAAGGTGGCGGGTTCAAATCCCCAGCC